AGGTTAATAAATGCTCTCTTTTCGTAACCACTGTTTGTCGTTCTGGTCAAAATCGTACTGTTATATGTTCAGATAATCTTTACGCATTGGGCATTGCAGAAATTATTTTGTGACAGTCATGTTTTGTTTATTTACAAAACAAAATTTGCGGTTATGTGGTGAGGCGGCGGCGCCCACAAAATCGCGTTTGTCCCACGCGACCGAAAAGTGGAAAAGGGGCGTCGTCGTGAATGTGTTGGAATTTTTCTTGGACCGCGACTTTGCAATCTCCAGAGGCCCATAACTTCCTTCAAAATTCATAAGATGAGAGGAGGTAAAGACTGTTAGAATTCGCGCGAAGAGTACTTCAAAGAAGTGTGAAATTCCCCTGAAGCTCTTTCTTCTGCCTTAAGTTCCTAAGGGGTTTCTGAAACTCAATTCAGCAAGTTCGCTACGCTTTGTTCCGCTTAGGTTTGATTCGAAAGCATCAAAATTTTCTTTGGAAGTTCTGCCACGGCCCCTGACAGGTAAGGCGTTTTTTGAGAAAACGCATGCTCGGGTATACGCCGTGCACCTGTCTGTGGTTAGAAGTCGCACTCGCATTTGAAAGTCCTCCATTTTCCTAAAGAAGGTGTTACTGTTGTGATTGAGTTGTATTGTACTGTTATATGGTGTTCTTGTTTCACTTCACAACCAAGTGCTCTACACTTTGCTCTCCTTGGGTCTCAGAAATGTTTGATCATTGAAGGCAGACCATGTTTTTGCACTACGCTGTAACAAAGTTTTGGCTATTGTAGTCTTGATCTTCTGTGCAGCGAAAACGTCGTCCGTGTATTAAGGATAATAATGGCTGATAGTGAGACTTATAATGCTCTCCATGCTCGAATGCTCCCATGGAGCTCTTGTCTGTGTGACTCTCTAACAGCTGCACGGTGCAGAGCTCCTGGAGAACATTAAAGCGTGAAAGTGCACTGCCGGACACTTCACTTTTCAAGCACCCTTGCAGCCCCATCTCTCTGGATACGACCCCCTCCCCTTTCGTTCGGCCGAATACGACCCCCTCGTTGTTCTTTGCGCAGCGGGCTGTTGACCCTGCTTGCGGGGACCAGCTGATGTACAAATCACTGTGTTATCCTCCCAGACAAGTCTGGTACCAATTAACCAGCCTCGAAGGGAGAGAAGGCTTGTTTGGCTTTGGCGAAGCACGACTCAGGATCAGGGTCAACCGTCTGCTACGCAAATAACAGCGAGGGGGTGTATTTGGCCAATGGAAGAGGAGGGGGTCGTAACATCAACTATCATTCACAACATTAGAAGCTGTCAAGGTGGCTAAGTAGCAAAGGAAGACAGTCTTTCAACTACCACTGCGACTACGCACCACAGGCAATTGCATGACGCATCCCAGAGCAAGTTTTGTACGTCATGTTCCAGGGAGCACAAGGGAAAAAATTCTACCAGAGAAACTCCCATGTTTTCAGAACAAAAAAAGGAGAAAATGCAGCGAATTCGGCTGATTGGCCTCTGAGTACTAATAGAAACTTGTGGCAGCAGAAAGGTTTCCTCTCCAAGATGTTTTAGCATCCTTACTATATATCAAGCGCTGTGTTGTGTATGTGTATGTGTAATGTGTAGTGTAGTGTGATGTGTAATGTGATGTGTATGCTGTTGTAGTCGTGTATGTGTGATATGTGTGTGTGGTTGGGTGTGTATTGCACGAAATTCAATGACACGGCGTGGCACAGTCGTTGGAAGCATTTTTTGAAATGATTAGGGGCTGGGAGAGACATTTTGGTGGGGTCTCCAAGTGATTAAGATCTGTAAGAGCAGATAAGAGCAGGGTCAAGCCGTCAGGCGTTCGTATTCATTTATGGGGTATTTTGTGACCCCTAGCTTTCGGGGGGGGCGTCAGTGCGACGGCCTTATTTGTTATAAGAGCGCAAAATGAATCCTCTTCGGTCAGAAAGCGTATCTGCACCAGCCTGCGCAAGCAGCGTCTGCGTTTGCTGCGCTCACGCTTGAGCGGCGCGTACTGCACCTCGGGCGGCTGGAAGAGGGGAGCGGGCGAAGAAAATATTTTTTAGAGTAAGTATACTTTTGGGACGTTTTTGTTTTGGCCTTGGTTGAGGGTAGATTTTTGATTGTGCCTGAGGTGCGTTTTCAGAAACACGAGATTGCTAACATCTCGCGGAAAGTAATTTGGCAGAATTGGAAAACCACAATTCTAGAGAAGGCATTCTTCAACTTTGTAAGGCGCCATTAAAATCTTGTATCGACATTCTGGAAATGCTGTAAAACGTTTCGGTAAACTTCACATATTTTCTTAACAAAACAGTATTAGAAGTTTATATGTGACATTGTCCTTTTTTCAGAAAATTGTCCGCGTCTCAGAACATTATTGTGCAAAGAGCCGAGTATTTTGCTTAGCACCATACCTTCACTTCATTTCCATTTCTGTGATACACTTTTATTTCATGGGGTGGCAAGGATAAGGATTTGACTCTTCTAACGAGACGCCGTATCGTTTTTCACAAATTTTTCCTAATGGCGAATTTGCGCGGTCAGTATTGCCCTGCACGTGAGGTCGTGGTCCTCACACTATGGTCAGTATTTCCATTTCTTGTTCGACTTCATTCTAATGTAAATTCTCCTTTAATATATAGGTAAAATTTCACTTTCCTCATTTTAACTGACCGACATTACTATTGTCTCAGAAACTCAGAGAACAGTGCTATGTAGAGTAGTCATATTTTGTCCTTTATGATGTTTTCGTTTTTGCTCTCTGTCATGTTTCTTTATTAAAGAAAATCACAATGGCCGCAAGCAAAAACTGTAGTGTTGCTTCAACATCTTTCAGATTCGAGGACTCACTTGAATGATCCAAACGTATCTCTTGGTAACGCACGAATTTCAGATTCCTGTAAGTTGTGTCGTGATAAACCCTGTAAGCATACTATGATTTTTACTTAACGCGACACCTTTGAATAACGTAAAATTTACATGGTGGTGCGGGAATAAAATTGTTATCGGACCCAGGGCCAACCGCACGTTCGATGTATTTTTCTGGGTTTTTAGCGACCCCCTGAGCTGCTCGAGGGGTCCAGTTGAGACCCTGTTTTTGTTAATTGAGAGTGCTAGATCAATGAATCCCGTTGCGACCAGAAAGCTCGGCAGCGGTCGTCGACGTCGGACTTGGAGCGCGCAGATACGCAGCCGGCGCTTGGAAGAACGGGAACGTGCGGCGAAGAAAAAATTAAGAACGGGGAATAACTTTCTTGGGACCGCTATTGTTTTTTACTGTTTGAGGTAGTTTACAGTGGGCCTGGAGGTGGTTTCCAGAAAACCTATAAAGGATTGCCTAACTCTCCGGAAAGTAATTTTTGTTAGGACAGGGAAACTCCAAGAGTTCTACGAGGCAGCACCTTCACTTTTGAGGCCATCAAATCTTATCGTATGCGACGTTTTGGGAATCTGTAAAGGTTTCAGAAAGCTCGCGGTGTTCAACTTTGTTTCTAAAAAATATGTATGCAAAAAGTCGTGATTGCGCCCTTTTTTCAAACCAATTTGTCTCGATTCGATACATTTGTTCGTGCAAAAAGCGAGTTTGGTTTACAGCGGACATACTTCGCTACATTTTCGTTTCTGGAGTGCAACTTTTTCTATGGGTGAAATGCAGGGATGTCTGCTTCCTGATTAACAACAAACGTTTTTCAAATCCATTTTTCGAGAAAATCAACTTTCGAACCTTATCGTTCCCATTTGTTTTTGAGCACACATGCCGAGTTTTTTGAGTTTATTCAATATATAAATTATCTCAAGACTTGTTTGGGAAGTGCGAAAGACATTTTTAAAGACGAAGCTTGCTTTTGCGTGTTTTAACTGTGGTCTGGAAGAATCGTCCTTAGAAAAATTAGGTCCCGAAGAACTTAATTCCGCTGCCGAGAAGCCGAAACTTTCATAGGGTGCCATCCTAGTCTGTTCTTTACTCCTTGAGCAAAAACATTGTATTTTGGCCTAAAACTGTGAATCTCTGCATATAATACGAATTAATGCTGTTGCACAAATTCAATTCTTGGCCCATCGATACGACGCACGTGACGCGCCTTTGGATGGCTGGCAGATCCTCGACCCCATGTGCGACCTGCCTTCGACAAAATTGCGACCCCCTTCGTCGATATCAGTCTTCCGAACGGGACGGTTGAACTGATAAAGATCGCGCGACACATTCACTGAAGTTCATAAGTGCGCTTTCTGCCAGAGTCGTCAGAGCTGCTTTTGGGCATGATATATGGGGGTGGGACGGGAACATATTTGGTGGGGTTCTCCATTGGTAGACTGATAAAGCAGATAAAGAGGCGATGAAACACAAATTTCACGAATCATAGGTGCGCTTTCGCAGGCAGTCGTCAGAGCTGATTTGGGCATGGATATAGGAGGATGGACAAAGGGTAACATTATTTTGGTGGGGTCATAACGTGATAACGACGGATGGAGGACGCTAGTATGATAGAGAGGCCGATGTGATAATGGACTTTCATGTCTCGTGTCATTTCATACAAGGTTGTAATTGCACCTCAAAACCTTTTGTTCGACGTATCACATTCTGTGTTTTTCTTGAGGACTGAATGGATGCTTAGAATAAATATATAATGAAACATGTGGGCATATCGTTTTGAGCAATATTCGGAGCTAAATTACCTCGATACTCGCGATCGCATAGTGGTTGTTTACATCACCGCTGTTATAGCCGTGCACGATTACACTAGCGCTTACCTCAACAATGAGATACAGCCAGCCTATAAGGGGATATGTGTAAATCCATTTAACGAGCAGCTACGAAACGATAAAAGCTTCATCATTGTCAGTTCTCTCATGCGCGCGTAGCGGGCGGAGTAAAACTGTCTCTATAAATAGTGCTATCTTTCATTTCAGTAGTTTTGTTAAATAAATTACTTTAACTGCTGCCGGACAATGAAACCGATTTTGAGGATTGGCCAGTTTCGAAGAAAAAGTGTGCATTTCAGGAAATGGCCTAAAACATTGAAGGAAAACACGGATACAATGGCACAATTTTTCGAAAGAGTGTCATCGCCGAAAGACCTTGATTTATCTAACAAACAGGTTAGCCTTCTCAGTGTTCTAATTATCATGGATAATCCTGCACCATAGTTGATACAGGTATGATAATGAGGAGGTTGTGAACGCTTGAATGATCGAAAACTGTGGCGTTTCTCTAAAATAGGACCACTAAACCCTGGAAAACAGACAGCGGATTATTCTTGAGAACTGATCTCTAAACGCACATGCTATCTATCAGTGATGCAGAGAAATCATAACATTTTCTTCTGCAAGCTTTACCTTTTCTATATGATTGTTTCTGAAAAGCAAATACGAGTCCTCTTATTGCAGGTCCGGTTCGGTGTTTTATTGCGGGAAAGATGGAGCCGGGGTTGGATAACTCGTATGGTCCAGTCATGGTGCCCCTATAATAATAGAGGAGAATTTACTTGCTTGTAGACGTAGCATTGAATGCAGGTTTGGTTTTTTCTAACCTTATCATTGTATAAAGCCAATAAGTGTTCTTTCATCAGAAGTAAGTAAGAAGCTGCTCGCGATGATGGTGCGGACTGATTCTGAAAGTTCTTATCACTCGTTGGACAAGTTACATGAGATAACTTGGAAAAGGGTACTAGAAAGAGTCGGCATCTTAGGTTAGCTCTGATATTTAATGTCTTGCATTGACGTGGGCGCTTACAGTTAAATTCTGGAAAGCATCCTTGTGGAGGAGTATTGAATCAGGATTTGTTGAGGATCAATAGATGAAAGTATTCGTCATCACTAGTGAACACACTTACCTTTCTTTTTGAAATTTTGGGCCTTCCACGTTCAATTTGCTTTTAGTCGAATATATAGAAAGAAACAAGCCACTATGTAACTCATCAATAGTCTTTTTTTTTATAAATAGGATTGATGGCGATAAATTGGTCCTAGTGCTGTTAAGGCTGACAGATATGAAAACCAATTGATAAAAGAGACGACTTTTTTTGAGGGTACAAGCGAGCCTCTGTCTTTCTGCCGTCGATTTTCGGCGTTATGTGGACTCAACATTGCCGACGGAATAAAGGCTAGACTAGCCTTCTGGCGTTTCTGCGGGGTCATTGCTGAGTGTTGGCGACACGAGGCCCCCCTGCGGTCGACGAGCTTACTGTCGAACTCAGTCTTTGAAAGCCGACTCAATTGTGAATATGCATTAACGTCAAAGGACTGCTGAGGAGAGCGCTCAAATGTTCTCTTTCAGCCCTTTTGGCGGTGCTGCTGGACCAGCTGCTCCACTGTGGCGCATTATCTCTCTACCGTACCGATCATTTCAATCTAGTCGCGACCTCGCTGACCCCATCACCTCCCAAACAGCATACGGGCGGCCAAAACAGAAGCGCCTAAAGACAATGTTTTCGCTTAACTCGTCAGACGCGCACGGGACTGCATTGCTCGCGCCTTCTGCTGATTTTCATCCATGTCTGGCAGCAGGGAATCACTCGAGTTTTTATTAGGTTACCGATATCTTAGTGTCTCCGTTTTTTTTTCAGATTGACGCGATTTACGGACCAGTCCCATATATTTAATTCAAAATCCCCAGTGATTGAACGATATCATCGTAATGACTCATTAGCGCCTTTCCTCATTTTACCAGTATGAGTGAAAGCCGACCTCGTACATAAGTTTAGGAATTTTTGAGACGAAAAGAGCGGTAGGTCGAATTTGACTCATTGACACATCATCTCTACTTGCTAAACAGTTTGGTCCTGGACAAAATATGAGTATACTTTGTAGGAGTAGGGTCTGACTGTTTGGTGGAAAATTTTATTACTCTACCGAACTCAAACTGGACAATTTGTTTCCCCGGAGTCTTTTTTGTGCTAACAATGGGGTCAAAAACGACACGCCTTTTTTGAGGCTGCACGTGAGTGGCAAGGTATGATGCACATTTATTATAAAATAAGAATTCTTGCGTCAAAGTCACTTTCGTTAGAGTCGTCTGTGCACCATCGATAGTAACTGCTAGGGGTGTCCTACCGTTCAGCACAAAACTGGTGGCAGCCATTCGTTTTGACTGCATTTAAGCTAGGACCACCTTTTTTGGCGACGTTTGGCGGGCATCCTGGTCATAAGACTTTACTGCTTAAGAAAACGTGAAATAACACGATGACATTTCAAATTGAGTATATTCCTCTCTATCAAATGCAATGCTCAGTTTGGTTGGGCGGAGGTTACAGCTCTCAGCAAGAATTTTGATAGCATTGGTACACGCACATGCGAATTTGCACAACTGACCAGGAATTTTCTAGAAGAAAGTATAAAAATGGGGGAAAAGTTAAATTGGGAACACCACATAAAGACGGTAAGCAAACTATAATTTACGCATTATTAATGGGCAATAAACTGCTTCTTTGGATCTAATTTTCCCATAGTATATGCGGTCCAAAACTTCCTGATCAGAAAAAGCGACACTAATGATATCGAGTCTAATAATTATAGAGGCGTGCGAGGCGACGATGGTGTGGTTTATTTTAATTTTTAAAACTAGCGTACGGTATAAGGCATCGAGGGGTTGCTGTAGCGTAGACAGTAGGCCACGTTCGCGCTGCCCGGCTTGCCGTGTTCCTACCCATCATAATTGCTTGCGGCATCATGCATCATTGCAAAATCCCACAACTTTATAGATATTGGAAAAGTCTCAAGTGTGGCACTGTGTTAAATACAATTACGATTGCCTTAACATGTTCCCGAACTTGAGATCGGAATTTTCTAATAATTTTGTTCAAGAAGGCTAGCTTACCGGCGTCCGCAAATTAGAAATCACCACATCGTATGACTTCTAAATTAGATTCTCCACTCCCGTTTCGCAAACCTTTTTTATGTAGTAGGTTGGAAAGTAAAGTCCGCAACACCTTATATTTTTGGATTCCAATTTTATCTTTTTGGTTGCACAATTCCTATGTACCGGTCTTATAATCTAACATTACTGAGTCGCGCTACACTTTCTTCCAAATGCTCGGAAAATGTCCTTGATCGGCTCATTTTCACGCAAAACTCAGCGTAGTGCGGGTCGAAGAAGAGGCGACTTCCTTTCAAGTTGGAGTCTCGATACGTCTAATTTACTTCGTGATCAAAGTATGATGATTTGAGTCCAGGATCTATTTAGCTCCGACCTAAGAATCCGTTTAAGATGGTAACGAAGTCTTGCCTGCCACTCCAACAATTTCTTACCGGGCTCAATATCGGATCATGGCAATATCGCGATAGTGAGTGGATAGAAATGAATTTGCACGTGCGTGCAAAGGCTCTTGACCAGCTGGCCTCGACCAACTTCTGGATGTTCGCCGCGCATAGACCTCTACCTACAGTCAATGTGCCCTAAGATTAATTTGTTAGTGAAAGCTTCCATAAGAGCGCCTATCGGAATAGGAGTTCTACGCACCGCTGGTGCAAATTATAAAATAAACAAAAGATCTGAAAGCACTTGGTGAAGGTGAAACCGCTGTAGGCCGGTGAGACGCATGCCCATGAGCTATTGCAAATAGTGGTTGGTTTTTACACGAAGCCATAGTCATGAGACATATGTTCTACGACGTGACTCGGAGAATGGATTTACAGTGGCCTGGATTTTCCTGAATTTTCTTGATAACACTGGCCTGCAGCATTTATATCCACTCCTGGATTGAGCCTAGGGCACACCATCACGTTGGACCGATTTCAAAATTTTTACGACCCCCCCTCTTGGAGAGTCTCCATACGACCCCCTCCCCCCGCACTCATTATGTACTGTACACTGCTAGGGAGAAAGCTAACGGGGGGAAATAAGTGCAATCTAAAAAAAAATCTAAAGGCACTTGGCTTGAATTCAAACACAGTTAGCAGACGAGCTCTAGTTTCCTGATATCCGGTAATTCACTAATGCACAACATCGCAAAACGAACTGCCTTCATTAGTTGCTAGACAGTACTGCCCTTTAGTTCGAATGGCGCTTTGCCTGCCTTTCATGAATGGGCGTTCAGAATCACAAAAAATCTCCATTTCGATATGCATGCGCATATCAAACGAGTGCATGGCGCATCTCAGAGCATGAGACTATACCGCAGAAGTGTCCGATTGGAGCACGGGAGCGTTGCATCCGCATTGACGCGCGCAATCTTCCCTCGGCACAGCGCGGGCAGCGAGAAACAGACTGTTCACTTTCAAATAAACGTAATTTAATTCTTTAATTATTTAATAAACGTAATTTGGTTCATTATCAACATTTCTTGAATTGCTAAGTAGATTTGTAATCTACAATACTGCTCGTTCCAGAAGGTAACCACGGTTATGCTTCATCTTCAAAACTACGTCAGTTATGGGGTAGAAAACAGAGAATTCACAGAAATGCTTACTTCGTCCTTTAAAAGGTTGTAACTTTCTTCAAACAAGGAATTATGAGGAACGGTTAGAAAAATTGGAAAGCTCAGACTGTTTTCTTTCTAAAAGTGCTCAAGCTTTTGCAAAACCTCTTTCCTTCAAAAAAGTGCCCCGTTGGACCGTTTTTTTTCGCAAGACCAGGTTTTTTGGTTTCCAGTGGTTATAACTTTATTCAAATTCCACCTTCCGCGATTCTTGTCCACCTGGGTTGAAGAAGAAGGTTAGAGCTTTCTAACAAATACTTGAACTCCTTTCAAAGTTAAAGGAGTCAAAAAATCTCCTCGTTGGACCATTTTTGGGAAGTCGCGGACCGATTTATTGCAGAGCGCTGGTTTTTGGTTTAAATTATTATAACTTTTTTCACATTAAACTTTTTGCAGTTCTTGTTCCCCTGGATTGGAGTGGAAGGTTAGGGCTTTGCAACGAATTCTTTTTCTCTTCTCAAAGTTGAAGGAGTCAGAAAATTGCCCCGTTGAACCGTTTTTTTTTCATGCATTTTCGGCGCTACTCTCCTGAAAACACAGGTTTCAACACTTAAACACTGACAACTCTCTTCAAACTCAATTTTATCGGGAATTATGATACCGTGACATCGCACGAGCTCTGTGCTTTATTACAGATGCTAAACCCATTGCAAGAATTTTGCCGAGAGGCAAATATTTTTGTTCCCAAACTTTTCTTGTAGCCCTTTAGCAGTCAATGTACCAAAGAGGTCACTCTTTTATTAACTTAGGTCCAGTTTGAAGACACCTCTAGGATTACATTTGTGTACGTGCGCAGTCAAATATGGATACTTTCGCAGCGGACTCTTCTGCTTTGATGTGCGCCATGCACTCGTTTGTGCTTAATAATTGAAGAAGCACTCACAAGATTCACCTCTCCCCTTCCGTCGCGAGTACTAACGTCTTGATTAAAATCGTTCGATGGTGCCAGCAACAGCCAACAGCTTCATCACAACACACATTAGGTTCCTTATAGCGAAAACCACCTCTCGTCATCTGCACCCAAAAACTTCTTTGTATGCAACGTTGACTCCTGCGAATACGACCCCCCGGTTGGACTTTGTCCAACGGATGATTGACCCTGATTGAAGCCCCAAGAATGCTCTACCATTTCTTAGTTATAAATGTTGCCTGTAAATTTTTCAGAAAAAAAGAAAATTTTAGAAAGAACTTGCAGAACTTTCTTTCCAACCTAATAACATCCAGAGGACAGTATGATAGAAAATGCTGTCTAACTTTTCAAAAGGTCAGGTCGTCGCAGCATCTGGGCAAACTAGGCAATCGCACAGGATTTTGACCAAATTCACGCCGAGCTCGAGAATTTTTTCAGGAATTCTACATTTTATGAAGCTGAGAAGAACTCCAAGGATCTCTCCCTGCTTTTCGATTAGAAACAAAGGCCGTGCCGCAGAAAAAACATTCTTTTTTCTACAAAGCATCGAATCTTCCCTGAAACTTAAACTTAAACTCTCAACTAAACAGTGTTTCTTTCTTACAAATGAATCCCAAGTTGATTCTTGAGTGGAAAATGTGGAAGGCACCATCTGTGGCAGAAAACCGTAGCGAAAAGTCAGCCGAATTTTGCACAAAGGTGCAGCGGAGCCGACTGGAGTAAGGATCGCTTTTGCTTGATATGTTTTAGCATTTGTTTGTCTTTCTTTTCGTGCTCTTCGAATCCTAAGTAGCTTTTTTCTTCGCGAAGCACTACCAGGAGAAAGAAAATGGTGAACACCAAGGCGGACGAGCAGTAGTGCATAAGAGCAAAAGCGACCGCAGTCAGTCAGCTCCGCTACATCTTTATACAAAATTCGGCTGAACTTCCGCCACGGTCTTCTGCTGCAGATGGTGCCTTCCACATTTGCCTCTCTAGAATCAACTAAGGATTCATTTGTAATTATGAAACACTGTTCAGTTGAGACATTAATCTCAGGGAAGATTCGATGGAAGAGCACGGTTTAGTGAGAAAGAATGTTTCTTTTGTGACACGGCCTTTGTTTCTATCGAAAGGTGAGGGGAAATCCTTGGAATTCTTCTCAGCTTCATATCATACAAAATCCTTGAAAAAATTCTCGAGCTCGGCGTGAATTTGGTAAAAATTTTGTGTGATTGCCTAGTTAGCAGATTTTGCGACGACCTAACCCTTCAAAAAGTTGGACAGCCTTTTCTATCATATTGTTCCTTTGTGAGGTAGGATGTGAGCACAATAGAAAAGTTTGGCGAAAAAACGGGAAAGGAAAATAATAGAAAAACATGAGGTGGAGTTATAATTTTGTGACGTCGGCTAAAAGCCCTTTTGAACAAAAATCCTTAGAAAAATTCCTGGCATCTCAAGTTGGAAGCTGATGTTTATAGGCAATTTCGTATTTGTAACACACTGCCACATTGGAGACTTCTCTGAAACATCTAAATTTGTGAGATTTTGGAAAATTCTTAGGTGGAGTTATAATTATGGGACGCAGTGTATTTTTTTTTAATGATTGTCTTCGCAAAAGTAAGTGCTCTACTGACTGCGTGGTTCCTTCATTTTTCTTATGACTTTTGTTCTGCATAAATGAAATTCGTTTCAGGTCAAATTTGAGTATGTTGCTGGCCACAGTGGCGAATATGGAAATGATGCCGCTGATGAGCTAGCAAGGCGTGGAGCTCTAATGTACAAATCTACATAGTGATCTTTAATCCTGAACCAAAAGTAAAACTGTTGTCTCCTTTTGTTTTTATTTCAAAGGGCTGTGATCCACTGATGGCTTACGTTGTCTTTCAATCATCGAGGAAGATCGCGCTTCTTGAAGGCACTCCCCTACTATACATAGGAGTTACGCGCCCTGAAAGTACTGTGTGTTGCTCATTGGTCTACAGATGAGAGACAGTAAAGAAACTGTTAAGAACTCTTAACACATTGACGTCAGTGGAGGCGGTTGCGCGTCTCACTTTGGACGCGATGGACATTGATACGCGCTTGCGCAGCTCACCCTTGTCATCCCATTTTCGCGCTAGCGCGGATTCTTCCCAAATTTTTGCATACATTCTATGAGGTACACCATAATGTAATTGTAAACAACATGGTTCGCCGTATGGTCAGACATGCTTCAGTTTAGCAGAGGTTTTCTAATTTCGAATTTGGCAGTTCGTTCCATTCTTCATTTTCCTCTTATTTTCATGATCATTTGAATAAAAGAATTTTAGAAGCAGAACAAATCTATAAGGGTAGTGAAATACGTGTTTTACTTCACTTTCTACTTCTTTTGATAGGATTTCATGATTAACTTCCACGCATAAAATATCGCTGAAAAGATTTTGTGCCGTTCACGTTTTGCATAGTTATCGCTCAAATTTTACGGGTTTGGTGAGGCGGCCGCGCTCGCGAATTCACGTCTGTCCCACTGGCCAAAAAAGCCGAAACATGCGCTGTCCTCAATGTGTCGAAATCACTTAGCACACTAGCCCTATGGGCCCCGTTTGCGTACCATTCCGACTGGAGTCTGGTTGGTTGAACTCACCTCTGATGTGGTCAATAGGAAACACAGTAAAGATGGGAATAACCAATGAGATTCCCGTAAGGATTCTTCGCCCCGCAATGTGATTTCAGACTTTAGGCTGTTTTTTTTTCGCTTACTCTCAGTGCTAAACCAATCACTACAACTTCAACGCTGTAACCTACCTACACTCATTCAGTCGCAGGGTGTACCTTTGGTGTTGCAGTTATATAACTTTAGATTGAAGAGAAGAAGCTGTTCGAACTCCACTGTTTCCCGTCTATGGTAACGCTACTCACTCTTCACCGATGTTTCATTCGAACATCTTCATTACTGAGAAGCACTCCCATGTCCCAGTGAGTTGAGTTACGTCGTACACGTTTTCATGATTTTTTTACACTCACTCCAGCGACACTGCCCTCAAATGGCTCTTGGAAACTGCATCTTCTTGCACTCCTCCGGCCAAAGATGTTCGAATCTTTGAGCAAGAACGACCATGGGCAATGTTAGTTCATTCTTTTACACATACATTTTCCTGAGTAGAAGTGGCGTAGTAGCGAGCAGCGTTGCTTACCACGCGCAGTTCAGGGATCGAACGTCATCGTATTCTGCTCCTTATAAGCAAGCCCCCATTCCTCCGGGTTGGTTGGCACCAACCAAAGATGAAAACACCCTGCATGAGCTGGTTCTCAAAACTCATTCTGTGTGCCAAATCACATTCAAAATGTCAGGACTATATAAATGGATGTAGAGCATGTGATGCATCCCAAAAGGAATGATCGACGCCGAATGCTCTCTATTTTACACTCTTCTCGAATACCCCAATCAGTTTCCTTCAGAGGCCCGCTCCGAGATCGCAGAACAACTCCGCTTGTGCAGTGTAACTTTGCACATCTCGGAAACTACCATAAATTTGTCTACAGAGGTAGTTCGATGTCCTGATCACGAAAATGACTTTCATTCTTAGCGGTGGCGCCATCTGGCGCCAAATGGCTTCACATTGTCATGACACCAGTTTGCACCAAATTTGGTGTAAACTTCGGTACAGGGGTTGTTTGGTGTCCTGATTACGAACATGACATTTATTCTCGACGCTGATGCTATTTGGGCTCTGTTTTCTGCTCGTCTGTGCTCTCCAATCAAGAAAAATGCGTCGAGCAATGGTAATGCAAAAACGAATGTCATATTTGTAAGGGTCCAAATAGCCCTATACCGAGATTTACATCGATTTTGGTGAAAACAAGAATCGTGAAAAGTTGACGCCAGATGGCGCCACCGCCAAGATTGAGTGTCGGTTTCGTAATCAGCACATCGAATTACCCCTGTGGGCAAGTTACGATTGTTTCTAGATGTACGCTAGTGCACTGCACCAGCAGAGGTGTTTTTAGGTGACATCGACGCGGGTTTATCTACCGGGGGTTTCCTCTATCTCCTCAGCTCGCAGACGAGGTGGACGCGTTCGCTCAGGGCTAGCTTTCTTGACATACGGCCGTCAGGGTCAAATCGTTTTGCGAATCGTTTTTCTCAGCTGTGAGGGAGGGGAGAATGTGAGCGCAAGAGTCGCCCTTTCTGGCGAGGGAGGGAGCCGAAACGCTTCTTAGGGATTCAAAGAGCGTAGCTGACCCTTCTGAATCCCATCGTGGAATACGTCATCATGAACAAGGTCATAGTGAGCAGAAGTGTCTGTGGAATAGTCTCATATATAGGAAATATCTGCAGCTGTGGTCCGTTTTTTCTCCCAATGCTACTGCGATAGGATTGCCTCGCCCCTGCAAGTGATTTTAGAGATTAGTCTCATTCGAATGCGTCTACCATGCTTCATGGAATTAAGGTGCAAACTCCAACTTACTTGCTTTATGTCAAGCGCTACGTCTGTCTGTGTGTCCCTCCGTCATTCACAAAATTCTATACTACCTGAAGAACCATCTGCAAACTTTGGGTCAAGTTTCGGAGGGCTTGGCTAGGAGGTACAAAACACGTGTCAGCTGAACTGAGCAGTATATTATGTCGATCCATAATTCCATCAACAAATTCTAATTGACGATAGACATTTTTTTGAAAACTCCAAAATTCCGCACCAATTCGTTGACGTAACGTGCTTCCTGCAATTTCGGTCAAACGTCCAGCTCGTTGTATAGCCGCATGTTACGGTAATCACATTGGTTTCGCGAAAAACTCATCGTGCCCCTAATTTTCGCGAGTATCGCTCAGGATCTTCCACATGTCATGCTATACCGAAGATTGAGCAGAAAATATGGGGAGGGCTCAATCCACTGTGCACCAGCGCTTCCTCTGTCTTTGCTGACTTTTTTATTAAGATGATGTCCACATCAACCACCACGGGAGTGGCTTAACTGATGCTTTGATAAAGGATCTGGATAGACTATCGATCATTTGTCAGAGCAATTTTTATACTAAAAGACGACAGTAGTGAAATATTTCCGAATACTTGTCAAGATCCGCAAACATAGAGCTTGAGTCCACATGCCTCGATTCTGAATTAGCTCCAAACACGTTCTGACATCGTCATGTTCGAATTGAGTTGCTGTGTTTCATTCGATGAACGTCTATCATATTTGTTTGTGGTGAGGAGAATGTAGGGTGCTAACAAATAAACAGGCGACGATAGCCAGGACTTGAGAGTTCTGACTGCGCTAAAGTTCAATCTCGTCTAAATCGGAGCCCTCCGGATCCCTGGTAGGGTCAACCGTCACGCTGGACAGATTTCGAAAATTTTACGACCCTCCCTCCCCCTTCCCCACAGAGAGTTTCAGTACGACCCCCAGCTTTTATTACGTACTGTACAGGGTTGTCAAAATTATGAGGACCAAGACATTGTGTCGTTAAAAACGCATAGTAGCTTGATGGAACAAACCAAATTCTGGGAAGTATTTGTAACTCTACCTCAAAGTAATTCCAGAGTAGAACTGAGACCACTTCTCCCGTTAATACGAGCCTTCGGATGAGGGGGATGGCGCGTGCGGTGGCACGCAACTAAGGCGTGTCCAAATGTTTCCCTGCCTTCTTCAAGGAATCAAACTTTTGTGTTTCATGTATTTGCGCTTGCATCCAGGGTGTGAAATACAGAAATTTAGAGCTAGTTAGGTGGATGATTCCATTGTAACAATTCTTCGAAAGCAACGAACTCGAAAAATCGCTTTTCAGAGAATTCTTGCTTTATTCTTGGGTGCTCGGTCCCGTAAGAAGTCCCAAGTAGACTACTCGTCTGGCTTTCTATCCATCACAGATGCGGAGCCTTTAGAGTGTCTGGCTGGGCTTTCATATCATTTTTTTCATTTTGGGTGTACGAAAGTCGACAAGGGGAGACCTAGTTTCTGCATCTGATAATTGTCCTCGTGGTAACTGTAGCTTTCGAGTCCCCGAATTTTGTGATTCCAAACTTATTGAAAGTTGAACTGTTGCTCATAAGAGCTTCTCTGATAGGTTCCGCTGCTAGATGTAACGTGCCAGAGCCCCTAGTGAGTTCAATTTGAGGATTGGCTCAAAGTGAAGTATTTATTTTACTAGTTTTGAGAACTTCATGAAATTTGTTTCATTAGGAAGAAGACGTTGTCCCCTTTCACATAGTTCACAGAAAACGAGATGAAAATGAAGCGATACGGAAAAAAGATTATATAACTGCGCGCGCGCGGTCCTCATAATTTTGGACCACCCTGTACACTGCCAAGGAAAAGTCTGACATCACGGAAAATAGGTTACAGTCCACAAAAGCTCGCAAGGCACTAGGGCACGCAAGGCTTGAATTTGAACACAAGTGGAAGTGCAGTACTTTATTAATAAGCACAAAATCGCAAGTATCACCTCCATTATTTTTTGAACGGGATAGCCTATAGTTTGAATTGCGCTCTTTGCGACTTCCAGACTTGGTTTTCAGAATCACAAAAATTATTTCATTTCGATTCACTAGCACATATCAAAATGGGAATGTTCATAATGGTTCTGAATTGCAGACGAGTACATGGCGTAAGTTAGAGCACGAGAGTCTACTGCAGAAGGATTGAATTGAGCACGCAGCTTTGGGTTCGCATTGCGCGCGCGGTCTTCCCCCTCAACCTGGCGCGGATAAACCGAGGTGGATTACTAATTCTCAAATGAGCATAATTCGGTACAATATTAGTATTTCTCAAAATGCCACATAGGTTTGTAATCTACGAGACCGCTAGTTTTGGAAAGCTACCACGTTTGCGCAGTGTCTTCATACCTGTGTTCATCATGTGGTAGAGATTAAGGTTTCACAGACATGCGCATCTCTTCATTGGAGACGTTGTGATTTTCTTCAAATGAGAAAAAATGAGAAGTGGTCGCAGAACTCTGGAACTCTAGATTTTCTCTCTGAAAAGTGCTCAAACTTTTGTAAGGTTTCAATCCGTCGAAAAATGCCCCGTTGGACCATTTTTTGTGCACAAGCGGGTTTTTTGACTTGGAATGACCAACTTTATTCAGATTTAACCTTCTGCGATTCTTGCACCCTTTGAAAAAACAAGAACGTAAGAGCCTTTTAACGAATACTTAAACTCATTTCAAAATCGATGATTCAAAAAATCGTCACGTTGGACCGTATTTTTTTTACAAGTTTTCGAAGGCTCTCCTGAATAGTCTGGAGTTTGGGGATTCTGGCGGACTAATCACGTTCCCCTTCTCTGCCGCTTCAAACCGAACATGTGTTTTTCAAGATCGATCTTCTTATGATCATAATCCCTGCCTCCTAATACACAGAAACTGATATTACTCCAAAAACAGGAGTGGATTCAGATAAGGTTCACGTGTTTTTGTTTCAGGGCCACTGCAGTTTTGGTCCATGGAGAGCCAGAAAGGTTCGACAGAAAGGCTAATTGTGTTATTCGCTGGATAGAGTATCCCGAAAGGTTGCTTGCTTCTCATTTATCCCGATCATTTATCTCTATTATTTATCATGTGTAGTAAGGAAATGCGTGTTAAGAGATTAATTTCATCTGCTGGCATTTATAGCCTCTTTTTATTCAATTAGTTGTGTATTTCTTGTGATCGCTTTTATTCGAAATTTTTCAAAACCAGTTTGGCTGGGCACACATTCGTTGTCACACGGAACTAGAGTGAAACAGGACTATCTTTATCTCATAACGCTTCCTTGCGAAATTCGCCAACCCTGAACTCTACTCAACCTTTTTCCGGCCTCCAGGACATCTTTGAACCGAGTTGTAAGTTTGGCAACAAACTACGCCCAATTTTGTGTTCGTCATGTCCACCATTAACGTTTGGTACCCCCTCTCTAACCTCTATCCACTTTTTATCGGCTCTCTAAGGCTTCTAGGAACCTAGTTACAATGTTTTGTGATTTATTCCACCCATTTCGGTGCACGCCCCACCCACCAACGGCAGTTGACCTCCCCTTCGCCGACATCAACCTCCTTTTATCCCAGTCTCCGGGACTTCTTGGAACCGAATTATGAAGCACTTAAAACTACGCCCTCTCTGGTGCTTGCTCCGCCCACAGCAGCAGTTAGCCTCACTTCTTTCGCCAACCTCCATCCAGTTTTCCCCGGTCTCCAAGGCTTAATAGAACCAAGTAGTAAGTTTGGCAGCAAACTCCGCCCCCTTACTGCCCGCCATGCCCAACATTAATGCATAGCCTCCCATTCTTCGCTGACCTCTGTTCACCTTTTTCCAGCTCTCATACTTTTCGGAACCGAATATATGCGGCCCTTTAGGAAATGTTGCCCACTTCAGGACACGCTCTGCCCATTGTGGGGAGGGCTTCTACATCATGCAAGCTGAGAACACTTTAGACATTATTTCCTTACACCAGTTTTTTCCTGCTCTGTGGGCCTTCTCCAAACCGAGTTAAGGAATTTTTCAGAAAGCATTGCTCTTCTAGAGAACTCCCCGCTCACCGGAGGTGGGTCTCCCCAATTCGATTGGCTTACTGAGGCACACCTATACCCATTTTCGCCAGTCTCAAGACCGTTTTGTGACTGAGTTTGAAATCATGGTCCTCAGTACCGCATATTCCGATGCACGCCACGCCCACTGTAAGCGGAGCATGCTTTGTATTTCTCGAGACCTGGCCCACCCATCACACACTTGACCCGGTCTTTCCAGGCGGGTATCCGAGGGCTGAGGAATTTTGTGACAGACGGACGGACACATAAGCACACACACAGACAGACATAGCGCATCATATTAAGGATAAAGGATAAAGTATTTGCCGTTGATCAATCCCTTTTTGGGATGCGGCACGCATTCTACTTCCATTTGTACATTCGTGGTGGCACTTGAATGCAATGTGGCCTATACAATGACTTGCCGAGGCCAGCCGATGTGCTAGTCAGTGTTTTTTTCCTCCCAGACAAGTCTGGTACCAATAAACTGACCCCGGGAGGGATGGAAGGCTTGGTTGGCCCGGGCGACTTACGATCCAGGATTTGATCCCCGGACCGCTCGCGTGGTAAGCGTGCCACTTGCCGCTACACCACTTCCGCCCGCGCATCATATTAGGTTGACTAAATTGAAATGTCGCTTCCGATCCTCAATAACATTCAAAAAAATAATAAATGTGAATACATTGCAAAAATAATAAATGTGTAATAAACGATGTGGGACTTCAAAAATTTTATTGCAAAAGATTAAAACTTTTTACAAACGAACTTGCTAGATTGTGTAATCGCAAAAGTTTTGCAGAAGCTAAAGTCTTTTTGGCGAGCTTTCGACTCTTATCGCCTTGGTCAAGCCTGAAATGAACTGAGTAAGTAGAAGCTCTTGAAGTCTATTAATATATTTAACTATATTAATCGACTCACTTGCTGCCCACTCACAAAGTGCAACGCTTACTACCCTGTTACCTTAAGAAGCAGAAATAAATATTCCTTTTCAATATGCCGTTAAAACGGAGTCAAGAACCTTCTTCCTTTTGAAGTTATGGAACAGCGTTCCTGTACTGGCAACTGCTTGCTCGCATCGCTCACAACAGGCCGAACTATTTTTTATGCTGGAAGGCTTTACCAGTCGCACATAAAAACTTCCAAAATTTTTCTTTTGACGCAACTGAATCTCCATGCAAGTTTTCGGCGGTTTGTGGGAGACTCAATTTGGCTTTCATTAGTCTCCGTGTCTAGAGCTGGAGGTCGAAATCCATGCTATTCGCCCTCTTGTCCTTTAACACCGTCTTCGAAGAGCTGGAACCATAGCTGAAGTGCATCATAGAATAACGTAAGTGTTGCTGCTCATGTTTTGCACACAGCGAGTGAGACTTGTTGGCCGTTTTTCACTGTTTGAATGTATACGCTTAGACAATGTTTTATGACCAATCACCTTCAAGCAAAAGTTTTGGCTCGAATAACATCCGCTCAATAGAGCATAAGATCATGCAGTGTGCGTGCTGAATCACTCTCTCAAATGAGTGGTCCCCCATCTTAGGAGATTGTGTTTAAGCTGAGAAACAAAGATACAAAAGGAAGCGACATTTCAATTTTGGTGACCTAATAGTATATTAATATAGTAGGGATAGTGAGCGCCTTCGAACAACCTGAATGAAAGATCTCCTCTCGATTCCTTTCCATTTCCTAGAAGTTTCTTTCTATCACTACAGTCATTTTGTTGTTGCTCGTGTCTTCCCGCATCAAAGGAGTCGTTCACGGGAAATTCTTGCATTCTTTCCCAACATGAATACGTCAATTGTGATCATTAGAGGCAGCGTGCAAATGTTCAGCAAGGCGTGCAATTTCCGAGGATAACAAACCTGTGAAAACCACATCCGTGGATGGTTGGGATTAAGTAGAGCAAGGAAAAAGAAACGTGCGCCTTGAGGCGGCCAGGTAAAAAAAAATCGGGAAGGGCGTAGGGGTTTGGTGAATAGGTACATTGTTATGCTGTATGTAGAAAATGTCAAAGTGTTCTTAGTGAAGACACTGAGAACCTAGTGGAATCGTTCCTTCCGCCAGAATTTGCGACATACAGGAGGAAGTTCGAGTGCGGAACAGCCGTTTCAGTTTTTTGAATCGTTTACCAAAACAAGTGCAGTTTTCTGTTCGTTTCATTCTGTCATGATTGATGGGTCTCAAACCAACGATTTATGGGTGAGACAGTATCATCAGGGAGGGGAGGGGGTCCATAGCTATGTCTGCCAGGAGTGGCCTGTGCTGGTGGACCAGTTCTTTGCCACGGAGTACCTTGACGTCCTTCACAGTTCTAAAGGATGAGCTTTTTACGAGCACATGGTCGATTTCCATGTGTCGCCCTCCACTGCTGTAGGCGACCTTCTGGGTCTCCCTTTTTGCGAAGAACGTGCTGCAGATCGCTAGATCGTGGACCGTGGCCGACTCCGTCATCCTCTCTCCCTCGGCGTTTCTCACTTCTATTCCTCCACCTCCGTGCACCCTTTCCAGGCCTTTTCTGTCACTGCCTACATGAACATTCAGACAGCTGCTATGGTGAGGTAGTCACCTTCTGTAGATGGTCTGATGGCATCGTCAAGGCTGAGATAGAACTCGTCCTTGTCACTGGGGGCATCCGACTTGCGGTGCGTTCACGGGGAGTATCGTCCAGTACCCCTCCTTCGTGTACACAGGGTTCAATAATTATATAGCTACCGACAATCCGCTCAAAAATTTGAGTTTAGTTAAAGTTTATAGAGTTTCTGAGGAACTGTCCAGGTAGAAAATGTGACAAATTTTATGGCGAGCTCAGATAACACGAAAACCCATGTCGAATAGCAAAAAAAATTGTGCTCTTTTTTCTGAGCAGGTTGATTTTCCTATGTTCAAATATGATACAGCCACCCCGTGTTTCTCCGTTGAAATTTATTTTTGCTTCTTGGAACTGATTCGCGGTTATCAGGCTCTTACCTCAATGTTCCCACAAAAGAAAAAAGGTAGTTGGACTTTGCAAAAGCGTAAATTGTAGCAAAAAGAAACAGGAATGATCAAGCAACAAATTATTGCGCGAGTATTGAGTCAAAGTCCAATACGGTTGACAATTTCTGGAATCCTGCAGGCTATGGAACAAAGAAGAGCTCTGGATGTTCATCTTTGCTTTTTGGTCATGTTAAACTCCGCTATTTGGGGTAACAATCCAATTTCATCGAACAGTGCCCGGAATTTCAATGGGTATTGTTTGTATTGTGTTGAAGATCTTCCGAGGTCATTCTCCAGTGGAGGATTAGATAGACTTGTGTTGAAAAGAAAACGTCTCGAAAACCGAGTCATTCTTCGCTCGAAAGTGTAGCCCCGTCGACTGGAGCAAGGTGAGTTTCTTTGTCTGTTATTTCTTACTTTCTGTTTGCTTTCTTTCGAGCTTTTCCCTCCTCATAGAGGCATTTCCTTCCGTCGGACTCCTATAGAGCGGAAAACATTGTGAGAAACGCAGATAGTAAGTAGGACATAGCACCTGAATAACTAATCTTGTTCCAACGTTCAACGTGGCTACACTTTAGCCGCGGAAAGTAACTCAGTTTTTGGGACGATTTCTTTTCACAAACGAGATCTTTTCAATTCTCCACTGTGGAATGACTTCGGAATTTCATCAACACCTTCCAAACAATCTCCATTCAAAGATTAAATTTGAAAGATGACTGAGATTCCGAGCACTGTTCGATGAAATTGAATTGTTTCCTAAAATACGGACTTTAGCGTAACCAAAAAGTAAAGATTAACATCCAGGGCTCTTCTTTGTTCCATAACCTGCAGCATTGCAGAAGAATCCTAATCGTATTGGACCTTGACTCACATCGTATTGGATCAATCGTATTGGACCTCGACATTCTTGCGCAATATGTTGCTTGATAATCTTGTTTCCTTTTTGCTACAATTTACCCTTTTCCTAAGTCCAACTGCCTTTTTTCTCTTGCGGAAACATTAAAGAAATTCTCCACGGAAAAAGCTTAACCCTCGTT